CCGTCGATCACCTCTCTCGTTTGTCACATGTGACGCTTTAAACCGGGTCTGATTCAGTCCCTGGCTGCCTCCCACTATTCTCTCGGCGTCAGTGTTTCTGACGCTCCTATTTGGACCGATAGCGATTAACGGTGGTTCGTTGAGTGGCCCGGACCTCATAGTGTCGCTCTCTCGTTGTTTGTCCATTCCTCGTCCGCTGACTACGCGAGTTGGTCCCTTGCTTGAACAATTCGAATCTGGGACTACATTGGATAGGCCCAAACCTTCCGCGTTTCGGTGGTTGATGCAATCCGCGTTGCTGTACTGTTGAGGCTATGTTTCGTTCACAGCGCTGTTCGATTTCCTTGTTACAGAACCGCATGTGTACCACGTACAATTGGTCGTTCCCGTTTGGGTTCGCTTTAGATCGTGTCCGTATCTCCATTGGCAGTATCTAAATTTAGCTTTTTTACACACTTTTGTGTGATGAACGGCAGACGGGGTGGAACCCCATATTCACGAGGACCTGCTGTTCAGTGATGGAAACCGGTAACCTAAGCCCCGGGACTTGGAGTGGTAAACCACATAAGGCCCCGATAGGTTGGTTGTGGTATTGAGCCGGACGACAGCAGGATGCCTACCACCAAAGTTGTGTGGCGGTGGCGGGGCTCGAACCTCGGATCATAGGGTCTAAAGCACGCCGGTGACAGCGACTAAACCACTGCGCCACCACCACGTGTCTGATAAGCGGGAAAATTGGTCAAAATAACTTCCGTTCCAAAAAATGAACCGGGGAAGTACCGCCCCATCACCTGCACGTCAGTCATGTTCAAATTGTTATTACCGTGAATCCCTCAAAGACGACACATTCATGTGTATATCTCACTTTGCGCTCAACACTTGATGTCGTTGCTTACCTTGTTTACTCAATACTTTCGGCTCCAGACAAAAGGTGTAAGACCATCAGAGTCGTGCTCTAAAACTACAAAAACATATTCGGCAGTTTTGATCGATCGGTATTGCTCAACGTGATTACGAAAAGTGGTGTTGATTCAAGCGTTAGTAGATTGATCCGCGATTATTTTGTGGATGGAAGGTAGTTCAGATGCCTGAACGGCAAGAAATCCACTCACCCGGTAGCTTCTGGTATTCTGCAAGGTGCAATGGTTTCCCCGTTTTTCTTTTCAATAGATGTCAAACAACTTCCCATTCCCTCTAGATCGATTGATTGTAAATACGCCGATGATGTTATCTCAGGATGCAAAGCACCCACCTCTGTACAGGCTTCAGAAATTCAAAGCAAGCTAAACGACGTTGTTTTTATGTCCTTTTCCCATCCCCTCATTAAATACCTCAAACTATCAGGATGTTGCATGTTCCCTGTTGGCNTACTCGGCCCTCACAAATAGTTTCCCACCCATCATGCTAATCATTAACCCATACCAACATCAACAATGGTAATATACCTTGGTGTCGCATTATCAAACAATTTATCATGGCCACGGCACGTTTTGAAAACATTCTGTAAAGTTAGAAACTTTACATATTTCTCCCTCCGATTATGAATACTTTCTGTTACCCGTAAGTTGTTTGTTAGGTCCGTGTATGCATGCATGCTCCCAAGCATGTTGGAAAAAGGCTTTTATTTACTGGTGATATCTCTAAAACACATTTCTAAATGTAGTTGCATCGTCAGAGATAAACTTGCAGACTCTTTCACAGACAGACATCTACAAGCATGTGGAAATTTTATTGCCAAAATACTTGCAGGCACTGATCACCCATCACACAACGAATTTTCAAAGCTGCATCTACATCATTCACATGCCCAAGATTCAAACTTGTAGGTGCATGTACATCTTCATATCGTATTTCTGTTTTGCCATATGTAGCACGCCTACTTGTTGACAAGAGAGAGTTTATACGGAACTACGTAATTGCTTGATTCATTGACAAAGACGATATCTACTGCTTTCAGTTTCATTTTGCATACTTTTGTAAATTTGCATCCACAAATATGATGTAAAATGCTGAAAATTCATCCATCCGCGTGCAAAAAGCTACTACTGACTTGATTTGACTTGTTGTGCGTTTGGGGAATCCAAATACGAAGGTTGTATCAAATTTAAAGAATCTATCGAGTCAAAGGATGAGTAAAAATCACCCCTAAGTGGGAATGGTTGTCTATTGACAACGAATCTCGTAGATGGTACGCACAACAGCATCCGAAGTGCAACGGTAGCTCTAAGCCACATTAATTTACATCATCTCAATTGAATCCCATGGGGATTCTGATGCATGTATTGTGCGTTTTCCATCACGGATATTTGCTGTTCAGTAAAAGCTATGCAGTAAAATCTTCGTATTCAGGCATTTTACTTTACTACATACCGTACTGATACCCGGAAATGGAGATAGTGTGGGACAATTTTGAGCAGTAGGAAACTTTTATTGCGCAGTGCACACAATCAGTGTCGCCGAAGACGCTTGTTTCTGCTTACGGTCACACGTATTTGATAAGACAACTAACAGAAGACAGTTTAACGGACTGTTTTTCCCGGCCCTGTATACATCAATCCAAGTTCGACAAACGTATCATGCGATGTGTTGTCGCCATGTGATGCGGGGTTCGAATAGATCACACGTACATGTGTATACACAAGCAAGCAAGCACGATTGGGTGTATATGAAAAAAGAGTACTCACCGCCATTCTTGATGCTCAGACTAGATGAGGATTGTTTTCGGATCGGGTCGACCCGCCCGAGTCGACCGTAGAGATCGGGAATAGTTGGACGAGGAGCAAGTAGACCGTAACTGTTCATGATGATTCGCGCACGATTGAAAGATGGCCCCGAACGGAGGTGGTGGTGATTGTGAACGGGGAAAAAATTGAGAATACCTGTGTGAATGCACGAGTGATAACATTCCCTGCGCACGTAGTTCAATAACTGAGGCCATTCAATCAATAACTCGTTCATAACTACAGGATCAAAAAAAGAATCACGTGGAAAAAACCGAGCACCATTTCGGAGAGTCGTTAGAGATTCCATTGAGGTCCACTTGGTCAGAGTAATATAGATTATTACATCTGGAACGAGCAAAACGGGAATACGCTTTGTCTTCTATGCTTAGTCTCCATCATGTCACTATGCGGCACTAACACTTAATCCGTATTTCGTAAACCTGATTAAAAAACTTGTATCATCCTTGATTATTTCAGTTCCAGTGCTTTAGAACCATAAATCTCACACTGCCATGCGACGGTTATGGATGCTGTTTCACCACTACCACTGAGTGATACGGAAGACTTGGACTGAGCGTTGTTGTTCCTCACTCACAATCATCATGTCATCCAGTCAACGATGAATAAGTGGCGACCATTTGTTCTACTACTGGTGATCCACAATGAACCGCGAAAACATACAGCACACAGCCAACTACTGACTGGAATCTAATCAAGAGGCGAGGCACTCAGCTTTGACCCTTTGGGGTAATGCTGACCAGGGAAATCCACAAGAATCCGGTGCCAAATTGCCTGATACACTGGGAGTCAAGCGTGAGGATTAGATTTAACATGCGGAACGCAGTAAGATAGTTGAAATAGGGTCAGTGTATGCATGTTTCGGAGACACAGCAAACATCTGTATGGGAAGTTACAAGAATCCTAGCTAAAGTAGCTTACTGGCTGATCTGATGGTGTGCGGAAATTGTATGCAGTCAAGTGCAAAGGGCGTCTTGTTTTAACTGATTCAGTGGCTCATGATTTGCTTACCTCATAAGTCAAACTGTTAGGATTAGANGGCATCTCATGGATTTCTCAAGGACAAAGAGAAGAAGACAGATGAGAAACAGAGTTTGCCAAAAAGGCGTCAGAGACTTTAAGGTACGACTTAGTTAGCGATGGACCGTGCCGATAAAGGGTTATTCGCCTCGGACATCCCTGAGCTGAGCTTTCGATTCAAAAGTCTGACCCGCAAGGCAACGGGGACCGAAGTACCTGGGTGGGCTCGAATGACAACGAGAGAGTTTCAAAAATCGAGAGCGGTTCCTAAAGCACATGGTGGGAAATTTTGCTTCCCGTAGAAAGAATGTTTTGGCTAAAACGAGAGTGCGAAAAAAACATCCAACGCTATCGGCTAGGAGCAACAGACTGAACTAGGAACTTCAGTTACGATGCGGCCTAGAGTCGCTCTAAGCGCACCAACTCACTGTTTCGCGAGTTACCTTCTTTAGCTAACTGAAAGTCCTGGCTAGGAATCCTGAACATCATCCCCTGATCCGGAAGGAATTTACGACAGAAATATGCCTGTCCGATGTATATAATATGATCACTAATCAGTATTTTGGTAACACATTCCATACATCGATTTAGTAACTACAACTTACCTTAAGTTACAGCCTATTCCTAAATTAAATATAAAATTCACTTGGGTCGGCGGTAGTGGTAACTTATTGATATTACCAGTATCATTAAGTATAGCACAAAACTCTTTGACCAAGAAAATCTACTAGTTCTACTATGAATGAACAGAAGTGAGTTTACCGGTGTTCACTGCTCAGTTCAGAACAGAATAATGAAAATATCCGAAGACACCTGTTTGGCGTTCGACAGTGACAAACTTACTCCATCGTGGCTGAGGCAGAATGAGAATCCGGTTGACTGGAATCGATCAAATCAGTCTTTGAAACCACCGCGGTGGGTTGGATCGATTGACTGTCGTCAGTTGTGGTGTCGGCCGCCAAACGGGCAGCCAATTTCTCCTCGCATAATTTCGCCTGTTCGGCAATCCGCAGACGAGCCGCCTCTATCTCCGACTGTTGGACTGAGGTCAGTTCGTCCCGGGTCAGGTGTGCGCGACGAACAATCAATTTATGTCCGTGAAAATTTAAACCATCGAGGCTGTGTGAGAAGACGATCGAATTATCAATATATTAATTCTCTCTCTCTGCACAATGTGATTGTAAGTCAGAAAGTGTGACTCATCAGGCTGAATGAATTGTGCAAACCAAACGTACAAGAATGTGTGTGTACTAAAGCACGTCTGTTGAAACCATAGTTGAAATTCGATAACAAAAGTTTCACCACCACGGGGTTGGTGGCTCGACGGTAATATCACCAAATTATCACCCCGGGGGACCACCGCCTGACTTTCCCCATCGTGTGTTGTTTGGCAGCCCTTTGATTGGCGGCTTCCCTTTTCCTGAATACTGTCTCATTATGTACACAAAAAAGGAAATAAAATTGAAAAAGATCTAGCATTCTACTGTAGTGGACATTGGATTAAACGGAATACACAACACGTGGATAACTGAAAAACAACCTGACGGAAAATTTCACTGATAAACACTAGGTTACATGCATTGAAGCCCGACAATCTGATCGTATCCTCTCGCCTAGGGGATCCGGTTTCTCGTTGCATCAACAAGAGCAAATATAAGGGACGGGGATGTCAGCAGTGAATTGATTCTGTGTAATGTGCGTCTCTTCCAATTCGAAAGAGTCAGATGCGAAAAGATCCTTCCGCGTGTGCGACTGAAGATAGCAAAATATACGGCGGCGATGGCGGACGATAGTAGAACACACTAAGGCCAGACCGTGTACACAACCTCCTCTACCAAAGCGAGTATTTCCAATACACCTGATTCTCACATGGTGTACACAGTAAGTCTGACAGTAGTCGTTATGCGAGAACGATGTTAGTAAAGACATGACAGGGCAGAGCTTTTTTCTTATCTGGCCTGCTGTGGCAGATCTCTAGAAGCAGACACACACACACACACACGGGTGCGTCGGTCATGTTCAGTTCAGTTCAGCTTTTACAACCATTAACCATGCACTTTCGTGCGCCGGTTTTGGTTGCTGTCTTTTGGTGCCCCATGTGGATAAAACAGCAGAATGAGGATGGGAAATTTGAAAGCAAACTCAAGCGGAAGATGGAGAATTCATACAGAATAGTGATAGGGGAATAATGAGTGGATGCACGGGCGCCACTGGTTGCGACACCCAGCCATATCACTCAGTGTCTCTAACCATCGATGGCCATCATCTCGGGGTCCCCAGCCAAGAACCCTAACGGGACCTATGTAACCCAGACTCCTGGTTGGGGTTTTCATACCTTTATCTCAGGTCTTAGTTTGACCACCCTTAATCTTTTTCCAACCGCTACCGGCCTCGGCAAACATCGCTCGTCGCGGCAACCTACCTGGTGACATGCGTAACACATGTCCCAACCAACGTAATCTATGCAGGTCGATCAGTTGCTCTAGTGGGTGACCGCGGTTGCCTAAAACTCTACGCCTAACGTCGGCATTACCCCACCAAACTCGTGCAATGCGAGTTTCGGTCATGTTCCTATGTTGGATCTATAACCCCGTAGCCTGATGGGTCAGACTTTTGAGTCAAAGGCTCCGGGTAGGGTTCGCAAAATAACACTTTAATCGATGTGGGCCATTGCGAAGTATGTATGCCGTGCCCTTAGGTCTTAGGCACCCATCTGAAAAACTGAACTGAATTGAAATGTTATATCTAATCGAGTCCACTGTAAAGGTATTCTTTTCTGACAATATGTCATTTTATCCCATTAACGAGTTATTTTAGTACTGTCAAACTTATGACTTCACTTCACTATCAACTTAGTTAGAATGTCCAAACCCAACCACAGAATCTGTGATCCTTAGCATTATCTCATCAAGAGTTACCAAATGTTTTCAACATATCAACCCGTTACACAATTTTAATCACCAACTCCTGGATGTCTCAACACCACGTATCAGGCCACAACTCAGTAGGCTAGCGGAATGAAGAGCATCC